CCCCAAAACCCCAAAACCCCAAAACCCCAAAACCCCTAAATATTATATCAAGATTGAAACCGATTTTACCTTCATTAAAATTTACTAAGATTCGTTTTATTAGTTCTGAAGCTCAGTTCTGTGAACCAAAAATCTCTTTGGCAGCATCAACAAGGGGAGGACTTCTTGCCTGAATAAATTTTACTGAAGTAGAAGAATAACATTTCTCGGTGAAATTTTAGAATTATTCGTATAAATTTTAACCATAAGGATTTAAACTTGGCATTAAAACTCATGATTCGTATAGTATCCAAAGAGCTGATAATACACTAAAATTATGAATACCAGACATCATCACTTAAAATAGGAAGGATCTCTGATTTGTGTCAAAAATATAACCTCTATGAATAATAATTGCTTCTAAAGAATTTTTCAAAAAATTGGTTCTTAACTTTTTACGCCTTAAACAATATTAAAGAGTGTTAAAAGAATTATTGGAATTAACATATGGTGAAATATCAAATTCCAGGGGATTTTATCTATCTCCCATGACATAGGTACGAGCAATTAATTTTTTGTGGCACAATTCTAATGTAAGCCTCTTTTCTTATGATAGAAATTTTCCAAGTAAAAAATTAGAAAATTTTCTTATCTAGGAAAAATTATAAATTATTATCCAAAATACAGAAAATGGAAAGAGAGAGAATATTATTAAGAACTTATAGTTCAATTTAATGATTGGAATGATCTTTAAAATAAGTCTTCAAATATTATCTCGAAGACTGAAATTCAATCAGAAGCATGCATGGAATAAAAAATAATAACTTATATTAACATTTACTTGGATATCCCAACTTAAAATTTAAGGAGAGAATTCAAAATTATATTATTACTCATTCTGTGTGGAAATACAACAAAGCTGCATAAAAACTATGGAAATTATAGTTCCAAAATATCTATTTTCCTGAAAAATATATTCTTGTTTTAACCTGTTTGGCTTAACTTGTTCTAGATTTATTAAGACATGATGCTACACCAAAAGAGAACAAGGTAAGGAGAATTGTTAATATACTAATTAATTATCAGAAAGGCCCGGGAAGGTCTCCTACGGTCACTTCCTTGCTCATTTGTTTGAAGGAATCAGAGCATTGATTACCTCCAAACTTTGGGCTTACATCGAGCTCTACCTCAACGCTTTCTGAATTCCTCAACTTAATCGCCTTCTGTAGCAATTCTCTGATATCATTATGAATGCTTTTGGTTGAAGGCTGAGTCCTTGCAGACACTTTCTTACGAAGTGCAACTTTGGTATCTCAAGAAGATTCAAAAATTCTTGCACACAGCTCTCTGCCTTGTCTAACCCCAGATCCGGAGAATGTCTTCCTAAATAAATTAATCCTTGACTGAGTGTTGAACGGAGTCTGTGACAGCTTAGTCTCAAGATGGAGGGAATTTATCAAGACTGATCTTTCAACACCCTCGTCAAGAATATCTTCATGTATATTTTCTTCTCAGTTTTGGAGGTTATCCATGTTATTTATATTAATTATGCCAATTCTCTTGATTTCTTATGGGGTTTTGGGGTTTTGGGGTTTTGGGG